TAATAGATCATATTAAATACCACTTGAAGTATAATTAAAAACTCGATTCACTACTTTAGACATAATAAAAAATATAAGAAATTAGTAAAGATCTTTTCAATTAATAACCAAAATAATATATCATGAGTTATAACCAAGTTATAATTTGTATATTATAGAATTTTCCATTGTTTTTTTTTTTTTTACAATATATATATATATATATATATATTGATACAAGTGAAATTCATGATTTTTGGTATATTTGATTAACACAAATGAGAATTTCATTTCAGATTAAAAATACCCATTTTTTTAACTTTTAAAGAAATTGATTTTATGAGCCTATTTTACATAGAATCACGCAGTGACAATGTTGGAAAATTGGTGTTTATAAGTTTATTTTGAGCCAACTTTGAGTCCAAAATTGAGTGCGGTCCACACGTCTGTTGAGGTGGGTCCAAAGAGGTGACGTGTTTTTTGTCGCATGGCAAGTTACACGGTAAAAACGGTTCGTCAAAATCATTTATGAGTGAATGAGAATTTGACATCGTTTTTCCGGTTCGTGGAATGGATAATTCAAGAATTAAATGTGGATTTCCTTGTAAGGCTTATCTCACATTGGAGACTTAAGAGAATTTATGTGTGTATATAAGTTTTAGGTGGCAACACTTGGGTTGAGCCCCAAGAGGCATCCCAAGTTTGTAGAAGGGAGGAGTTATGGACAAATGGAATCTTGGCTCAAACCACCGCGCGCGCTCTGCCACCGTCTGTCTGGTCGCCAGTGTGGTCGGTTCTATTATTAATTTTTTCCAAAATTCTTAACGAAATTAAATCAAACTTGAATTTAATTTCCTGTCCAATGTTACCTCTTCCAATTCAATTTTTCCAAACAGTTTTTTAGATATGTTGGAACCCGGACAGATTCAAAACGTCCTAGACAAGTTTTTAACTATTGTAGTTTCCAACAGATAAAAACTACCCAGCAGTTATCTGTTCAAACAGTAATGCACCTGTTGGTTTCAAAACCAATCTGTTCCAGTTTGAAAATAACACCTGTTCGGGTCTGTCCATTTTTACCTATATATACTAGTCATTTCCAGCAGTCTAAAAATGGAAAAAATTCATTTTGTTGCTGTCCAGTTTTTGCTATCTTGCATCAACTTATTCTTCATATTATTTTAGGAAAAATTAAGAGAGTGTAAGAACACAGGTTTAGTTCGCCATACAAATTGTTTGGAAAGCTACTACAATTTGTGAAGGTCATTGTATCTTGGGAGATAGACGCTATTTGTCCGTTAACACCATAGCAGGGCGAATCTGTCTTAAGGATAGAGTGTCACACACTCGACTTGATCTTTTAATTATTCATTCGATTCTGTAAAATAAATTCAATAAGTAATTTATTTTATTTGTTTGATTTGTTTGATTACTTATTTTACACAAAAAATTGTTCCAACAGACAATAATTTTCATCAGCCATTAGTAAATTTGTTTGTATTTGACTTTCAATTGTCAAAATTTTCTACATATAAATTATTAAGACTCAAAATTAATTTTTCATTTTAAAAATAAATTCTTTGACTAATAAAAAGTAAGTAATTTCATTTACAGTAAATTTAAACCATTAATTCTCATTTTTGGATAAATTCTGAACAAATAATTTTAGGTTTGTGGTGTTGCTGAAAAAATATATATGCAGTAAACTTTACAAAGTTAAACATAATACATTGTGTTCCTATAATATTTAAATTCATATAATATGGCACTCATATCATAAATTCAATTTTGAAAATTTGGGGGCAATCCCTCAAGCTCTAATCTTTCGGGATTATAAAAATAATAATAATTTGAAAGATTATATTATTCTTATCTATTTATTTATTTGTCTACTATTTAAAAAATAATAATAGTAATTTTGTGACACTTTTAAATGTTACTAAACTAAGAAAATGTTGTAGTGAATGTCTCTTATCTATCTAACTATATGTTCATGTATTACTTATCTGTTCACCTAATTTACATATTTGTCTATATTACCACCAGTTTATGTAAGTAAACTTTACAAAGTTAAACATAATACATTGTGTTCCTATAATATTTAAATTCATATAATATGGCACTCATATCATAAATTCAATTTTGAAAATTTGGGGGCAATCCCTCAAGCTCTAATCTTTCGGGATTATAAAAATAATAATAATTTGAAAGATTATATTATTTTTATCCATTTATTTATTTGTCTACTATTTAAAAAATAATAATAATAATTTTGTGACACTTTCAAATGTTACTAAATTAAGAAAATGTTGTAGTGAATGTCTCTTATCTATCTAACTATATGTTCATGTATTACTTATCTGTTCACCTAGTTTACATATTTGTCTATATTACCACCAGTTGGTCATCCATCATCTTTGGAGACTTTTCCAACAACCAGCGACAGTCCAACGACAGTGAGCAAAAATGAAAAAAAAAATTCTTCAAAACAATAATTTATTCTTCTTATTAAACAATTTTATTAATCATATCCTTATAATTAAAACAAAATAAACCTTGAACTTAATACCATACACTCCCTTATAAATGAATTTCTCAACAATTTTTCTTAATATTTAATTACTTATCCATTAAATTAAGAAAAAAAATTAAGGCCTCTAATTATACTTATAATAACATACCATGCCGAGTTATATGTTAATTTTTAATTTGTTATAAATTTAATCATAGACTTAACTCTTTTATCACAAGTGATTTGTAAATTTTTAATATATATATATATATATTTTAAATTAATAGATGAGGTGGGGCTTGACGGTGTCAGCCTTGCCTGGGCTGTTGAGTTAATACTTTTTGGTATTTCACGTGGCCTGCCCATGAGGACAAGTGGTTGGTCCGAATTAGCCCAACTCATTATAAATAATTTAATGTAATCTTGCCATTGGCCCATCAAATCTATCAATCAACTCCCAACGTAACCAGCTACCTTTTATCTACATCTCTTTCATTATACAACCACCTTCCTCCACCTCAAAATAAATATCTCATTGAATACATTTGCTTTTCTCTTTTGAGTCAAGATATAGAACATATTTAATTATAAAAAGAATTGAACTACAAACAATGGATTGAATTGGCATAAGAGTCTTTGTGTTTTATTAGGAGCCTTAGGTTTAAATCTCTAAAATTATGTGTGTCTTTGTTTCTCATATTTATATGTTGGATTTTCAAGTTTGTTATATTGCGAATATATGTTTTTATAGTTAATTTTTTAATTTGATGTATCAAATTTATAATTTACTTTGAAATTCTTTTGTGTCAGAATTTTCTTTCATTTCACATGTTAACATGTGAGAAATGAACAACAAAAAGTCTATCAATCATTTTAATAAATCTAGAATAGAATTTGAATAAAACAAAAAAAAAATCTAGAATAGAATAAGATATAAAGATAGAGAAAAACCATGGGAAAGGAACATTAGATAAATATTAATAAATCTAGAATAAGATAGAAAGATAGAGAAAAACAATGGGAAAGGAATATTAGATAAATCACATAAATCTCTAAGATTATGTGTGTCTTTGTTTCTCATATTTATGTCAACCATGCTGGGACACTAGTGGGGTGACCCCAGCACCCCACCTCCACGTGGGGGGCTCTCACAGCAAGACTAAAAAAAAAAAAAAATTCTAAGTCAATCAAAAAACAGTGGGGGTGGTGGGAGTCACCCACACTGAGTCCAAGGCATTTATGTATTTATATTTGGATTTACAAATTTGTTATATATTTGCGGATATATGTTTTATAGTTAATTTTTTAATTTGATGTATCAAATTTATAATTTATTTTGACATTTCTTTTGTGTCAGAATTTTCTTTCATTTCACATGTTAACATGTGAGAAATGAACAACAAAGAGTCTATTAATCATGTTAATAAATCTAGAATAAGATAGAAAGATGAAAAAAAGATTGGAGCTCTAAATTAAGAGTTTTAATAGTTTTACTTGGTGTGTGGGTTTCATGTGATGTGATATTTTAGTCTTGATTTTTTTTTTTTTTTTCATATCATTAGAGCTCTTTTAAAACTTTTAAATTAGAGGAATATATCATTTGTATAGAAAAGATAGAGAAAAACAATGAGAAAGGAATATTAGATAAATCACATATTACATTAGTACTTTTCTCTCAAGTTGAATTATATACTAGCTTGGAGAGGAAGACATCAATATATTTCAAGCAATGGAAGCAACGATCAACACATAATCAAAACTTAATTTTTCACACTTCTGTCAATTATTTATTTATTTATTTATTTTTTAGTTAATGAAATTTGAAACCTAATTACAGCCCTCTCATTTAAGCATTAAAGTATCACCAACTTTGATTAATACTTAATTATGTTTTTGTATTTTCAAATGACATTTGTGGATGAAGGTAACTGTCCTCTCTAATTGTTCCTTCAATAAAATTATAAAAAATTAAAAAAAAAAAAAAAAAAAAGCAGTCAAGGTGATTAAATAAAATTGTATTCCATAAAATATCAAAAGCAGCTATTAAGTGAAACTTCATCTTTTTTATTGGTAAATTACTCTATGATTTATGATGAAATTTTTGATAACTATAAGAACCGCTTCTTAGTATTTGAAATTATTTTTTATTTATTTATTAATATATCAGATTCAAATCTTAAAAAATAATAACATACAAGCTTTTTTTGATTGAATTCAAAAGGGAGCTTTTAAAAAGGGAAAATGTTGTGCAATGATTAACGTTAGTATATGTTTAGAAAGTATATGTTATATAGTAAATTGTTCATATTTTTAACATTAGACATTTTAAATAAACATAATAAAGTAATTTTTATATTTAAATAAATATACATTTTTAAAAAGTATAAATAGTATAATAGACATATGATAGGTGTGGAAATAAACAAAAAGAATGCATTTAATTTTTAATTTTTTTTAAAAAATAAAATTTAGATCCTCCCCCGCAATGCAACTCTTCCATGCTTGCTTTACATGACCACCACAATGACTACAGCAGGGCAGCAAGCCTACAAATACAAATACCGCGAAATTAAGAGAGAGAAAGCAGTTGGTGAGAGAAAGCTCATCATCATCAATGGCGGTGGTAGTCATGAAAACCGCGTTCCACTTGCTTTCCTCTTCAAATTCTCTTCTTCTTCTTCTTCTTCTTCTTCTTCAAAGCTCAGAAGCTTCTCTCTCTTTAAAATATACAGATCTCCAACACCACACATCTCAAAACACTAATTTTGTTTCCAAAAACCACAGAAAACAAAAATACAAGACCCATAGTCTTGCTCTCCTTCACATTCAACGATTCAAAATGTCTTCGCATGGACGGTGACAAGTCAATTTCCTCATTTTCAAAGGTCAGATTTCACTGCTACTATACATATCTTCCTTTCAATTCTCAATTTCCCCCAACTTCATACTTACCCATTACTTCAATACCCACATGTATGCGAATGTGTTTTTTCTCTGTTTGATTTGAAGTGCTATTTTCTCCGAGATATTTGAATTTCCATATTCACAATGCCTTTGTTTGTTCTGTGTTTGTATGGACAGGTTTCGAGATGAGTGAAGTTAGGGTTTGGATTAGGGTTTTGTTTGGCGGCGGTGGTTGATATGGGCTGTGGAGGGTCGAAAGTGGACGAATTTCCATTGGTGATCCGTTGTAGAGAGAGAAAAGAGTTGATCAGAGCAGCCGCGAACCACCGCTACGCTCTCGCCGCCGCCCACGTAGACTGCCAGTTGCAAAAGTCAGAAGATTTGCTTACATTCGTCGATGAAGAGCTCGTAATTGCTTCGCCCTCGGATTCCCCTGTATTGACATTACCCTCGGGTAAAGGGAAGAGCAAGAAGAACAAAAACAAGAGTGGTAATCATAAAAATTCATCGTCTTCAACCTCGCTTTCGCATTCTGGTTCGGGTTCACATATTCACCTTTCAGATGATGATGATGATGATGATGATTTTGATCAGGATCGCGATGGGGGCGATTCGCACTTGCATTTGTCTTCAGGTTCTGATTCAGAATTGGGTTCTGATTCTGGTCATATTCATATACATGATAGTCCAGGTGTTGAAGTTGAAGGACCTTCATATTCTTCACCAACGCCTCAAACAGGTTGGGGGCCATACGGGGTGTACCCGCCACCTCAGACAGCGGATTGGGGGCCGTATGGAGGATACCCACCTGAGCCACCCCCTCAAACAAGTTGGAGCTCATATGTAATGAACTCACCCTCCAAACCAGCTTGGGATCAATATGGAGTGAATTCTACTTCAACTTCATATGCATATTATATGAAGAGATCTTCACCCCAGGTTCAGTCTGTAATTTATGATCCAACTAAGCCAGACACATCATATTCATATTTGAACTCATATTCATCTGACCCATATGAGAATAGTGGATTTTTTGGGTTCCCAATGAGTTCGCCACCTGGTGGGCCTCAGAATCAGCAACAGAATACTCCAGCTGGTCCGCCTCCACCTCCTTCGCCACCAAAGGTGTCTGCTTGGAACTTTCTCAACCCTTTTGATGGGTATGATAGTGGTTATCCTGGCTATTATTCTTATAGTAGACATGGGGGTGGGTCAATTGCTAGTAGTCCTGATTCGAATGAAGTGAGAGAGAGGGAAGGAATCCCTGATTTGGAAGACGAAACAGAGACTGAAGCCTATAGAAAATTTCAGGAGGGGGAGAATTTGAATAAAGATAGAAAGAAAAATTCAGGGGTGGGCACTTCCAGGGCAGTGCCATCACAAAAACAGAGCAGTGAGGGAAGTTCAAAGACAGTGCAATCACATGGTAGTAGTGAGGGCACAACAAGAGGTATCCCTCCACAACATAATGAGGGGACTTCAAGGAAAGTACCATCTCCAAATAGTAAGGCAACACATTCAGTTGATGTGAAAGAGGAAAAAGGCAGTCCCGATAGTATCATATCAATAATCACCGAAGATGGGTCTGTGAAAAGCACCGAAGATGGGTCTGAAAGGAAGAAGGGGGTGACTTTTGAGGTAGATGCCGCGTCAATGCACAAAATTGAATCTCCCAAGTTAAGGGCCAAAATTTCTGCTCATGGCACGCGAGATCTTCAGGAAGCTGTTACTGAAATCAGGGATGACTTTGCAACAGCTTCTAGTTTTGGCAAGGAGGTTGCTATGTTGCTTGAGGCGGGCAAGGTGCCTTATCAGCCTCGGTTTAGTTTACATAAAGGTATTATCTCATCTATTGTTGCCTTGATCTCTGATGTTTTTCTTATGCATTGTTCATTGCTGAGTTGATTAATTGCCTTGTGGTGTCTTTTGTGTCTCACAATTTTTTCTTGTTTTGTTATCATTACCAATTTACGACTGTTTTTATGTATTACTTGTCAAGTCTTGTCTATAAGTCACTGTTCAATGCTTTTTTGCTTGGAATTGTTGGTCCATTTTTAGGGTAGTTTGCTAAAATTATTTGTATTGTGAAGGAAGTCAACTACAGAGACTAGAACATGGAACTTACCTAAATGAAGTTTCTTAGACGGCCAGTTGCAAAAGTCAGAAGATTTGCTTACCATCCCCATTCTTCTAGATGATAAAACTAAAATTATGGACCGTGCATATATGTTTTACTTCTAATTGAATGCTAAACTGTAAAAGGACAACCAATCAACATTTGTACAAAGATCAAGTTCTCTTGCAACGAGGTAACCTGTAGATAATAAGTGGTGGGTTTTGGTATTGATAGAGAGAGGGGATAGGTTTTTGGTATAGAAAGAACATAATACGTGGTATGTGGTGCTATGAATTGCTGGTAGTGGTAGGAGAGTGAGAATGTGATTGGTTGAGGAAGTGTGCATCGAAGATGGAGTGAGGGTGATGCACTGCTGGGTCAAATAGGGTGAGCAAGCAAGCAAGAAGAAAGTGCAATAAACTTTGAGAAGCATAATTGTCATTTTAACGTAAATATGTAAAAAATGCGGGAACCTCTAAATGCACCCCCAAAATATTGTTGGACATTCCAAAAATTTTGTTCTCTTTCTTTGATTCCATCTCTACCCCTACCCACCACAGCAGCCCACACCCCTCTCCTGTTGTGAGTAAGCTTGATTTCACTGGCCTATCTAGGAGGTAGGAACAAGAAGCTGAAATTAAGGGTTCAAGAATGGCTGCCATTGTGGTTGAAGAATTCAATGGAAGTTTGATTGTTGTATTTGCATTTAATGTTTTTACATTATCAGTTTATATCTATAAATAGGTTACGCTGCAGTCGTTACGAAACACCGCTTTTTAAAACCTTTGAAGCAACCCAAAACCACATATATTGAACTTGACTTTTATGCGCTGTTAAAATGTAATGGTTGCACTTTACATGCCACCATAGGGGGGTTTGGTGTCACAAATCAAATGTCAAGTGGCTCCTTGTTTTGGTCTAGTCGCAGATGGATAATTTGCTTAAATTAAATATTATTCCAGATGTGGAATGAACATATATAGTGAAACACATTCATATGCCCAAGATTGATTATTGCATAAGTTACCTTTTTTGTGCATCTTCCATTGCCATTCTTCTGACATTTCCTTCTCTTATTTATTTCTTGTTCTTGAAGTTTGTTATTTATGTTAGTCATCTTGAGCAAGCATCTGTCAGATCCTACTTGTGTTAGCTTGTTTTCTAAACCATGGTGCAACCACTGATTTGGCCTCGTTTGGGAATTTGTTATTTTAGCTGGTTTTTTGGCTTTTTATGAAAAGACGCATAGAAAAGTAGAGAGAATAGAATTAAAGAAATTCAGAAGGAAACCTTAAACGATTTTCTCCTCAGAAATTTCTGATAATCAATATTGCACTTGTTTTTGGTCAATAGAACGCTAGAGAATTGAAACTTCATGTACATCCAAAAAACAGGTTGAAAGATTAAAAGATAACTTTCTTGAATTAAATGTATCCCATTAAGTAAATTAATATCTACTCCCATGGAACACTTGGTTTCAACTAATTGAAGTTCTTTGGCCGAAAAGATAATGATATTGTCACTAGAAACAAACATTAGCCTTGGTAATTATTGGAACTTTTGTGTCTTTTGCAGTGATCTTATCCAGGATTGCATATATGGTAGCACCTTCCTTGTCATCTTCACACCCTCCAGCCAGGCAATCAGTAAGATATACATTTAGGACAATGAAACTGGCAAAATCTTATTATGAGGATTTGGGGAAGAACACTAATATGAAGCCTTGTAACCTTTCATCTACTCTGGAGAAGCTGTATGTGTGGGAGAAGAAACTATACAAGGAAGTTAAGGTAATGATGAGTTGATTTATATTTTATACTTAGGTTAGAATTGTGAGCATGTATGTGGTTTTCTCTTGATATGCCAAATTCAAAATGTATTCACCTGTTTACAATAATAATTTTTGTGTTTGCTTTTGAGTAGTTACATCTTTTCCTGGGAGAATAATGCAACTTGTAGAGGAATATAATATGATTATTACTAAGATTGATAAGAAAGTAGCTACCAATTAATGGGCATGAACATTGTTGTCAAATTGCAAATTGAATCATGAATCATGAACTTTAAGATTTACTTTATTTAATATAATATTTTATTTCATATATGTAGATATATGTAGATATATGTTACTATGCACACATAGTGTTTAAAATAGAATAATTTTAAAAAGGGATATAATTAAATTGTGTATATGTATGTACATATAAAATTACGTTTATCAATATAACTAATTGATATCTTTTTATTTCTTGATAGAGAAGCAAAAATGATGACGTTTCATAGATAATGCAAACAGTGTGTGTGTGCGTGTGTGTGTGAGAGAGACAGAGAGAGAATGTGCCGCCCTGGTTTTCATGTTTTCCCCTTTATTCTTTTGCTCCCATCCTTCTTTTTTTTTCTAATCAAGGTCCTTTCTGTAGTACCGCCATATAGCATGGGATTTGTATTTGCTTTATCGAATTCTTCATCATATCATTTCTTCATTGAACAACTGTGGGTCATTGATATTGGTTGCTCTATGTACTTATTTTCCAAGCATATTCATGGGTGTGGTCAAATACTCAAGTCACTGATACAGTTGAGTTCATAATTTTCCATCCCCTCTAATTTTCGTACAGATCTTTTATGTGAAACCGTTAAGACATGTTTCAAAAGTTACAAATTGAACAATTCTCTTAAGTAATTAGTATGCATACCTTAAGAAACTGATGAATCAACAATTCATCAATAAGGTGCAATAGCTATAATCTTCTGCTCCTTGTAGATTGTTCTTCTGTTACTTCTTCATCTCAAAAGAAGATGGGAATTTGTTAAAGTTGATACTGGCAGGCTATTTATTGTATTTTTGGAATGGGAGTTCTTAAATATCAAGGCCAGTTTTTTCATAAGATGAAAAGTTTGTTGTAAACTGAATCAGTCTGGATTGTTCTGATTTGTTAATTAGTTCTATTTCAACACATTATAATCCACATAACATCAGTCACGATAGAACTATAGTTGGCTGCTGTTTGATAAAACTGAAATATAGAAAACTGAATGCTGAATTTTTTAATCTGAAAATTTGTTTGCCATGCACTTAAATGCTGAATTTTATCAAGTTGTTTCGTATGTACAAGAAGCTGAAATTTAAATTATCAATATTTAAAAAAAAAAATTTCCCTTTTATATTGTGATGGTGAGTTGGTCGCTATATGGTGGTTGTGGCAAAACCCAATGAATTGAAAGAGAAAAGCCTAATCACACAAGGGGAATGCACGGACTGAAAGGAACAATTTTGACCTTTATGTGCTTGTAAACTCTAGAGAGGGGTACTACCCGTATACTGTACGGCCTATTTTCTTCCAGAGCGAGAAACCCGTGACCAGAATTTATGTTTGGGTTTTATACAGCATCGTGGCCAGAATATTTGAATAATTTGGATCCTCATGAATTTGTGTTGTTACAAGGCAAATGTTTGAAAGTTGCCTTAGATGTAACCACAACATGACCTTGTTTTTTCTAATGCGAACCTAGATATTTAGATTTAGCTTGATAACATTTAAAAAAAACAAAAAACCAACATGGATTTGTACTTTTCTTATTTCTGCCATTCCAATACAATCCTGCTCAAATTGTTTAAGTGCTTCCTCATATTTAGGATGAAGAAAGACTTCGGGTTATCTATGAAAAGCAGTGCAAGATGCTGAAAGTTTTGGATGACCGGGGAGCTGAGTCTAGTAAGATTGATGCTACTCGGGCTTCAGTAAGGAAGTTGCTGACAAAACTTAATGTTTGCATTAAAGCTGTTGAGACTATATCAAGCAGAATACAAAAGTTAAGGGATGAGGAGTTGCAGCCACAAGTCACTGAATTAATTTATGGGTATGCACATACTTCTCTTTGTCTAGATTTATCGTTTCAATTTTTTATTTTGAATTTTTGATATACTTCCTCTACATATCCACTATACAGGAGCAGACTTTTATGTAGTCAGAAGTGTAATTTCTTGTTATTTGTGGTACATGTCAATATTTGTTGTCTGACAAGTAAAAAAAAATACAAATAAGTACTTGCAAAGTGCGAAAACTTAGCCATATACAAACGAAGAGATATGATCAATCCCAAATGCCATTTTTATTTTTATTTTTTAGAAACTGGACATATAGAAGGTTTAGTTTGGATGACAGGAATTTTGAGGGGGTGAAGAAGCTTGGATACGGACATGAGACATGACACGTACACACTGCAATTTCAAAAAATAAGGACAACATATGGGAGACATGTGCAAAAGATATATTTTCTATATTTATTATATGTTACACACATGAATATTTCATTTATTGATTAGAAAAAAAAAATTCAATATAACACTAATTTTTAAGTTTCAGGAAGGGATTAATAGATTGTAAATCTGCATTGTTTTCTTTTATTATTGAATCCAAAGTCATTTTGTTAAAACTTGTAATGTGCTTTATATGTGTCTGAGCGATAGACAATCGTGTCCCCTAAGTGTCCAAAGCATGTCCGGGTTTAAAAATTGATTCATGTGATTGAATAAGAATCTCCAGATTCATTGTTTCAGAATTCATTGTTTTTTAATTTAATTTAATTTTTTTTTATAAAAGAAAATCATTATGTGGGGTTGCATGCCTTGACAGTAAAAGTAGGGGGATACCCAGTGTTAATGATGTTTTAATGCTTGCAATTCACTTATTCATTTCCTTTTTCTTTCTTTCTTTCCTTCTTATCTTTTATTTTAACATTTCTTGCATGGAGTAAACTTTTGGCGGGAAGATAGGAACCTTTGTTTCTTGTTTTAAGTATAGGAACCTTTGTTTCTTCTTTTAAGTATAGGAACCTTTGTTTCTTCTTTTAAGTAAGCATTTAATTTTTTTTTGTAATCCCTTGCATTCTGAATGCATGCTTTCATTCATGATATGGTTAACTCATTGTAACCACAGATTGAGAAGAATGTGGAAGACCATGCTGAAGTGCCACCAGAAGCAGTTCCAAGCTATCATGGAGAGTAAAACTAGCTTGAGAGCAAATACTCGTTCTCGAAGAGATTCAAACTTGAGGGCCACCATTGAACTTGAAATGGAGCTTCGTGCGTGGTTCAATCGTTTTAGTGAATGGATTAAGACTCAGAAATCCTTTATTGAGTCCTTAAATGGATGGCTTTTAAGGTGCCTAGTTCATGAACCTGAAGAATCCCCCGATGGGATTGTTCCTTTTTCCCCCGGCCGGATCGGAGCTCCTCCAATTTTCGTAATTTGTAATGATTGGTTTCAAGCAATGGAAACTATTTCAGAAATAGGAGCACCTAATGCAATCCGTAACTTTGCTTCAAGTTTGCTACAGTTATGGGAGAAACAAGATGAGGAGCAAAAACAGAGGCTCAAAGCAGAGTACCTGTCGAAGGATTTTGAAAAACGACTAAAAACGCTTCGCATGGAAAGAGGAAGAATGGAGCGAGGCCAAGATGCGATGTCAGATAAAACTAGTGGTTCACTTGTTCCTTCAGAAAATGGAGTTTCACCGCTAGATGATCTAAAGGTGGATTTGGATTCAATGAGAAAGAGATTGGAGGAAGAGAAGGCACGGCACAAGGAGGCTGCTAAATTAGTTCATAATGCCGCTTCTAGTAGTTTACAAGGAGGTTTGATTCCGATTTTCGAGGAGTTGAGCAATTTCACCTCGGAGGCGCTGAAAGCTTACGAGCATGTTAGGATTGAAAATCAGAGCCAAAAAACAGGTGGGAAGTAAATCTGAAAACATGAACTTGTGTTTGTTTCAGTTTTAGTTTGAAACCAACAGGGCAGCCATAAGATCAGCTACCCTTTTTTGGGGTAAATTTAGGAAAGCAGATAAGAATCATACAGGTGAATTTTAGGCAATATAGGAGCAACAATAGGAAGATGTAGAAGCTCATGACAGTGGGGAAGGTGGAAGTAGATGAGTTGTTTGTGTAGTAAAACATCAGAGAGAGAGAGAGAGGTTATGGAGATTGCCCCTCGAGTGCACAAGAAGGGAGCTTGACTGTAAGACCCGATTGTCGAGCGCGGATGAAAGTCGGCGTGGACTACCCACCTCCATCCATGGAATGGATATAGGTAGGAACTTGTACAGAAATTCATTTATTTATTGATTGAATAGCTCATTTGGTGTCTGTTGATAGATTGGTTGTTCATCTTGTGGGTGTATAGACAGATATGTAGTGAATTGTAACTCCAAAATTTTGATAATGACAAAAAGAGGAAGTTGTTTCCTTGTTACCTTTCTTGTAAAGTTATATTTTAGAGTTATATATTACTTATGCACCATTGATGTCTAGTTTCAGCAACCTTTATCTTTCTTTTGATTAACTTTTTAGCTTTGGATGCTGGATTGGAATCTGGCTGGATGGAGTTTTTGATCTACCTTTAAGCTGAGGCACTGTTTGGTGCATTTTTGGGGAGTGATTATGACTTCTTTCTTTTCTGTTACTTTTTTGAGTGAGTGGGAGTTTGGGGGGTGATTATATTTTTTTTAGGTGGGTTGGAGATTAAACTTGCTACTTCTGTACATGACAAGCGTGTACAACCCAATAGAGTTTGCACTTAGAATTAACATGGTTCAAACTTGCATTCATGCACATGTTATACTTGTACCGTGTACAAGTAACACTTGCATTGAGCACATTTTGGCAATAGCGAAGGAAGGGGTGTGGGTTTGCGATCTTGAGGGGTTTGTTGATTCTGATGGCTACGGCTTTAGTTGATTAGGTTGTTGGATTGGAAGAGAATGGACTAGGACTACGCGTGGCTGAGGTGGGATGGGGACTATGCAAAGATATTTTCCCACCCATTCCCATCATAAAAATATCTTTCAAGATGACTGATAAAAACATCTTTGTTGATTTTTGCAATAAAAACCATATACTTACAAGACAAATGTTTTTGAAAACGAACCATCTATTTAAAATACTACAAAATAAAAATATTATAATTACCTAAACGGTTTGAATTATAAAAACAAGAGTTACATCGACTCAACCAAAATAAAATAAAATTCAATAAAATGGTTATATCATACCACTTTGGTCAGTCTCGTTTGAAAAAAAAATATTTTAATATTTTTTTGACATTTTACTACATAATGTATAAAATTGTGACAATTTATAATAATTTTTTTAACTTTTTAACTAAAATTAAAAATTGCCAAATAAAGCTATTAAACTAATCAAAGTCTACCATGTAAATGTTTTCTATCTAACTAGGCATATGTGTCAGTTAGTAGAATGAGTTGGACAAGATAATTACACTAAGATGGTGGAGATTACATCAGTTGGTATAGTTAACTTTCATATGCGCCTTATCTAAAAAAATATTATTTCTATTAAAAAAAAATTATGTATATATAATTTTTTTTTTCACAAAAAATATATCTTTTTACTTCTCACAAAATATTTAATTTTTCTTACAAAAAAATATAACTTTAGTCGTACATGATTTTTATGTGCATATCATAACTTCAAAATTCATGACTTTATTCACAAAATTTATAACTTTCATCTCACAAAATGTATAATTTTTTTTACAAAAAATATAACGCCTTTCACAATGCTTAAGTGCACATTGTAACCTCTCTAGTTTATAATTAGATGGGTAATTTTATTTTGTGCATCCTAAAGTGCATACCATATACACCCTACTAAAAAGATGTGTAATTTTATCACAAATTTCATAATATAAATCACAAAATGAGTAATATTGCAATAAATTAACATAATAAAATGTTTAAAATTTTATGATTAATATTGTAAAAATTTATGACTAGAGAACAAAATTTTTGTTACATCAATTTATGACAATATTATATATTTTATAATTAAATTATGTAATAAAATATATATATATATATATATAGTATGCACCTTTGAAAAAATATACACCC